CTGAGCGCCTGTTCCCACAAATGAATACGCAACACTAATGGAGAATCGAATCCATGAAAAACCCGACTGTTGCTGAAGAATTCATGACAGTTTAGCGAAAAAAACTGTGAATAATTAAATTTACAATTCTTTATTTTTTGGTACAATTCATCTCAACAATCCATACTCCACATTATCATCAGATCACAATTGATCAAACTGATCGCTGTATCAGATATATTCTGATTCATCAAATCTATTTTCGTACTCATTGATTGCAATCATATCCGCATGTAAGCACAACGTTAGAAGTTAGGAAGATTGTCTTGTTTCCGAGAGGAAACCTAATAATCGCTAACAAAAAATAATCGCTTGTACTCCGCCATACGATCTAGTGGATGCAATTTCATTTCCTCACTCTAGCAATCGCAAAATTCCTTCTTAGACTCAACTTCCTTCTTATGTTAGCATCTTATTGATTTCAAAAGTAATTTTTGTTGTTTTGACGACTATGAAATTACCATGAGTCGATATTGGTGTGGATAGCGGATGCAAAAAAGTCGATCGACAGCAATCATCAACATAGTGGTCTGACTGAGATGAACACCGAATATTGTTATTGCCCCATAACAAATGCACTCCACTCGGTCAAACTGCAACACTCCGGTCGAGATATGAATCTCGGTTATTGCTATGCGAACGCAGAGACCAATTCCTTGAAATCCACGAAAATTCTTCATTCAATTGCGTGAGATAAGTGATATATTGGTTTCGTTCAGTGATCATAAGCTGTATCAACTAACTTGTAAGAACAGAAGTGAAATGAAATGGAAATCGAGAAACTCAAAGAGAAATCCACTCTGGTGACAGTGATGTGAGAGTGGAACTAGCATGAAAGGCTTAGCAATAAGCTTAAGGTGAAGATACCTGAGATGAAGTCAGCGAAACCCAACTGAGCAATTAGTAGGTTAGAAGCGTTCTTCTTGAGCGTTTGATGAGTGAGTACCACAACTATGATGATAAGGTTTTGAACGACCGAGAGTATGGCTAATGGTACTCGAACAACCCTGATCACCGTCGATAGGGCTTCTTCCATTGAACTCTGTCATCAATTGATCACTGCCGAGCTGGATTTCAGTTATGCCGTCTTGGAATGATCTATGTTCCGAAGATCAATTTTTTTCAATGGTGGTGTTGATACTTGACTTAACTGAATGATTAAGACGCAATTAGCTAAATCGTTAGCATATTTTGGTGTGTGACCTGAACGCAAATAACAAATGATCACTAATAAAACAGCTTTTAAATCCGGAAAAAAAACGAACAAATGCTATGTAATTCATTACTGTCACTAACGATGACACTGATAGCGACAGCAATGGCAATAATGAATGCAGTAATGTTAACAAAAACAGAATAATAACAACAAAAATAACAATATATAGGAATTCTATCATTGTGGTACTCACAAACAGCCCGCAATGAGACACAAATGTGACATGATCGAATAATTATGATTCTTTCAAAAGTTGCTCGAAACTGGGCAGTTTATTGTTATCAATAGTGCTTCTGGAAAAGATGGAGAACCAATTAGGAATTCAGGTGGTCAAGTTGATCAGCTTAACGTTATCACTGGTATTTATTTATCGGTTGATGCCGTAAAATTAGAACCAATCGAATTGAAATATTCACTTGACCACGTGCTAGACAAATCAAAAATTATTCATTGTATCATTTGTAGAAAGTAATAAGGCAGTCATATGGAGTCGTATGGAATCGATAGATTTTCGATATCTATATTACCAACTATTTGACGACAACGTATTGAATCGAGCATGTTAAGAGAAAAACTCAGGATTGAGCGTACACACATAAGTGACTCTTCCAATGATTATGTCTATATCGGTGGAGGGATATCACTGTTATCGAATTTGTGTATTCGACTATGTCTGAAACGTGTGATGCTCAATGAGCAATTTAATACTCTTAAAAGCAAAACATCTACATCCAAACGACTAAAATAAACCAGTTTATTATCATTTGAATCATACGGTGACCATTTAAAAAATTTGCTTACACGAAATGATCAAAATAGAGCAAAGAAAGACATTTTTAGATAACGATTTGGTACGTATTTCAACATTTCGGCTTCAATTTGCCTCTTCGGTTTTAACGGAAAATCGCCTTATTGCTCGCAGAATTTTTCTTCATTATTACACTTCCACAATGGACACTGAAATTTTCCAAGTGAAGATTCTTCTTTTGGCACATTCGACTGATCAGAGAATGAATAATGAAATGAAAAATTCACTGAAAAAAAAATCATTCGTCGATTCCGTCGCTTTATGTATTAATTCACCGCACTTGATGCACTCTGTTAAAATGTAATTGCAATTCAGCCGGAAACAAACTGATGAATCGCTAATAAATATTGCTGGCCAGAACGCCATCAGTTCTAGATGAAGTTATTAGAAGAACGCCTCCTCTGATGAACTGACTGCCTTCCAATTGCCTTCTCTCCAGACATTTTTATTGCTTTTTTTTTTCTGGTGAAAAGCACATTTGAGTGCATCAATTTGCTTGCCGGCTCGTCGCATTACAAGAACTGCTGTGGTTGATCATTGAAGCCGTTACCAAAAAAAAACTGGTTGATTGGAACAGCGGCGAGAAATTTATGTTGCGGCTAACGCTTTTCGAAAATTTGAAGGAAACTGAACTTCACGCGAACTCCAGTTTATTGTGTTGCGGGATGGGTGAAAAGTCAGGGACGGAATTTTGCAGCTGTGAACCCTGGAAATGCAGTCGGTTCGATAAAAAGTCGCGGATGGAGACGGGGGAATCGGGGAGCAGATCTTCGAAATTCCTCGATCCACGCAACACACAACTCCAGCCTAAACAGAAGCAATGGACGAGAGAGGGATGAAAATTCTATCCAGCTGATTATTAGATATACATTTTGCTAGGCAAAGCATTCGTAGTTGTAACATCATTAAAGTTTTTAAAGTTGCACTCATCTCATGAACAAATGAATGGGGCTTGAAACGTCGTTATTCGATAAGAAGAAAGATAAGATGGTGGTGGCAAAGCAAGAGAATGAACAATAGGAAACACAAGCGATTTAGGAAATAAGCAATACGGAAAGAGAGTATGATTGGATGATGGCAAATATTCTTTTTTTGGTCAAAAAAGTTTGATTTTTGGTTAGCACGACAACAAAATGAACTAATTGCATAGTTTTGCGATAGAATGCAACATGAGAAGCACTCGCCTAGTGATCTCCTGGCGATGCATTTGTCCAAATGAAGTTGGTGTAATTTTATTTCATACACGACGGAGGCAATTTCTTTTTGCACACTTCCATGTGAACTACTTCAAAATTTTGTATTATTCGTACGAATACATTTATTTGGATTTTCTTCACTGCATATGAGCGAGTAATATCGCATACGCTCGAACGAATGAACATTTGATGTCGATGAGATTATGGAGGTGAGGAATGAATGCAAAAGTGAAATTGCATACATTCCGGTAACTTCTTGATGACATATCATATTACAGATGGACGGAGTTGTGTTCATAAAAACAAAGAACTGCACACGTCATCTGGAACATACTCAACGAAC